TACTTCATACTTTCTTTTTACAATTTTGCACCTACCGCTTTAACATTCTCCACCACCCAATGGTCGACTGTCAGAAAATGCCTGCGGCATTAAGTCCGCCAATTTCAATGTATGTGCAATAAAGTTTAATAAATAAAAAAAACAAATATATTCTAAAGATAATTTTACTTATATTATATTTAAAATGCAAGTTCGTGTGTATGTTTCTTACTCAGTGACGTCATAGTTAAAGGGATCGAGATGAAAGGAACAGAGGTAGCTTTTTTGTCAAATTTTTAGGACACTAGGATTTTCTCCTATGTTGTGGGTGGTTTTATAAACAAACAAGTTCACATACACATGACACCGACACAGCAATTTGTCTATCACACAAATAATTGCTCCATGTGGGAATCGAACCCGCTATACGTTGCTCGGCAGCCGACTGCCCAATCGTTACAGTCTGAAATAAAATATAGGCTACTTTTATTGAATGCTAACGCGAGCAGCGACTGCCTCATTGACCGAGTGATCGCAAGTGCGACTGCCTTGCAAGGGGTCTTGGGTTCGATTCCCGGCACGGGCAAAGTATTCCTGGGTGTTTTAAAAAGATCTCAGTAGTAGCACGGAGCCTGGATTTATGCCCGGTATATGACAATAGGCTCACCCCCTATTACATGGGACTCATAACATAAATAGACTGGCATTAAGTGCCGCAATATGCGACTCTGCCAACCCCTTCAGGGATTAAAAGCGTGATGTTATATTATATTAACGCGAGCAAAGCCGATAGCAGAAGCTAGTCTTAAAAAAACAAAACTGATTTCCCTCCTAAAGTAGTTATGAATATTGAAATGAAATATTCTTAATCCTTCCTGTGGTATACTTGAACGTGGATTGTGTATTGTCCAGTACTCTAGTAGATTGTGTTCAACTGTTTAACTTGAAACCACACAGAAGCATTATAGAATGAGAAATGTAGAATTTTAATGTAGTAGTGTAATTTGGGAAAGGTATATAAATAAATACGAAAAAAAGAAAGCTGTAGTTACACTATTTATAACTCAACAACGACTGTGGCTGTAATTTTGTAACATAACATAACATCACGCTTTTTATCCCCGAAGGGGTAGGCAGAGGTGCACATTGCCTACGGCACTTAATGCCACTGTACAATGTAACACCCACTTTTCACTATTTATGTTATGAGTCCCATGTAATAGGGGGTGAGCCTATTGCCATATACCGGGCACAATTCCAGATTCCGTGCCCCTACTGACATTTTTAAAAACCCAGTAATACTTTGCCCGACCCGGGAATCGAACCCGAGACCCCTTCCCCAGCAATCGCACTTGCAACCACTCGGCTAAAAGGCAGGCTGTAACTTTATCTGTGGCTTTATCCCAAGATTTCCCGACAATCTAATGGGAACGGAAAACAATTGGGATTGCTCGTACGAAGTCGCGGGCAGAAGCGCGGAGAACCTAACGGGTAACCGGGGCTCCGGCTCGATGTGCAGGAGAAGGAACGGGGTGGTTTTTAGTCAGTAAGAGTCTGACACTCTCTCCCGCCTCACCCAGTCATTCGATGATTTTCCCCCCTTAAAAAAAAGTTAGCTAGTTTTCAAAGTCAAAGTAAAAGCATTTATTTCAATTAATCCTTAATTAGACACTTTCAAAACGTCAAAAATGTAATTGTTCGTCCGTCTTTTTGTCAGTGAAGCTAAGCGCTTGTTCCAGTTACGAATGAAAAAGAACAAGGATGAAACTCCATCGTTACTCTTTTAAAAAAATGTTTTTGTACAGTCTCATTGATACATTATCTGATTTCTTTTTTATATACATATCATGGAGCCTGGAATCTCAAGGTCTTGAGTTCTATGAATCCTTCTTAAATTGCTTTGATCTATAATTTGTCTTTGTGTTGATAAATGTATGGATATTGTGCACATAACAAAAGCGTCGCTTGCATTCATACGAGGACGCGCCGGCGCCGGGTGTCGAAACTGTTCGGTTGCAATACTTAGTTCCGATCTGTGTACACGCACATCTCATCTCCGGAGATTTGTCTTCGAGTGTTTGAGTGACGACATATTGTATGCCTTAAAGATTATAATAATATTAAGATTATTATAATAATACCTAGACTTAGCTCTCGAGGTTGTCGACATGTGGAGTGTGGATTCGGCTATCATTGTGCCGATAGTCGTGTCGGCCAATGATGCACTATCCAACACAAAAAGAATTATTTAAATCAGATTTGAAGTTACGGAGATTAGCGCGTTCAAACAAACAAACAAAAAAACAAACTCTTCCGCTTTATATATAATAGTATAAAATTTCATCGAAACAAGGGATCACATTTTCCTTCATGCATGCCCCACAATAGGATTTTTCTGTGTCGCTAGGTTTTTCTTGTATTTTCTTGTATTCTCTGTGTTGTGTGGGTGCGTTTACAAATATAATATCAGATACACTTAATACAATCTACAAAGTACACCTGTTCCGGATATCACCCAAACAACTTCACTGAACATTATAATATACTTCCCACAAAACCACCTCCTCCTGCACTCGCTCACTCGGATCGCAGCGATATGATCGAGTCGATTCTAATCGATACAATCGATACTAATCTCGGTTAGCCAAGAGGTGCATACTTTAAGGCGTAATGTGACAGGATCTACATTTCATATTCTGATTTAGAACAGTTGCGGTAATTATTTATACTAAATACATTATTAAGAATGACAAATTGTGTCTGTTTGTTTGGTAAACTTTATCTCCTACTTGAAACCTGGTTTTTCCTATATTTGTATTACCTATAATAACTTTTTTTATGGCATAAGCCGGTTAACGAGCAGACGGATCACCTGATGGTAAGCAATCGGCGTCGCCCATGGACACCTGGAACATCAGAGCCGTTACAAGTGCGTTACCGGCCTTTTCGGGAATTAGGAGTTTGAGTATCATTGGCGATTCAGGAATTGAGGAGATTGGGGAAGGGGAGGGTAATTGGGCCTCCGGTAACCTCACTCACACGACGAAACACAACGCAAGCGTTGCTTCACATCATATTCTGTGAGGACGTGGTATCCGGTCGAGCCGGCCCATTTGTGCCGAAGCATGGCTCTTCCACACTTAAAACTGTCGTGTCTAAATTAATTATTATATTTTTCGGTTTCCTCACGTAACTAGTTCGCGTGTCGCGGAGTGTTGCTCATGAATATGAGCCTCTAGCATGGCTTGAAACTAGTCGAGTTCCTAGCCAAACAGTTGCGTGAGCAAGCTGAAAATCTAATAATTAACTTATTTTTTTCTGTTTCTAACTCAACTTACTGATATCGGTCGGTTGGTGTAATTTTATTTCATTCGTCTTATTTTGTCGTTCATTCTAAAAGCGTTTTCAAATATTTTTTTTAAACATCATCCTTTACGTGTGGGAGAGCCATGCTTCGGGACTAATGGCCCGCCTCCGGAGTCCGGAGTGATACCACGGCCTCCCAGAAGACCGACGTGAAACAACGTTTGCGTTGTGTTTGGTCCAATTACCTTCCTTTCCCATTCTCCCTAATCCCCGAATCCCCCTTAAATTCCCAAAAGGCCGGTAACGCACTTGTAACGCCGCTGGTGTTTTAGGTGTTCCATGGGCGACACCAATTGCTTACCATAAAAACCATAAATCATCCATTTTTAAACCTGAACTACAAAACGATTACTTTTGTAAAAATTTTGTTACGTAAAGATATTTTTTAAATCTCAATTTCACAAACAATAATATCTATTAAAATTTATTTTTTACAAATCTTGTCTAGATTTTAATAATAGGACAACCACAAACAACAAATTATCCAATTTGATACAAAATACAAACGTTCGGTAGTCGACATCGACACAAACAAACATTCGGTGATTAATTTATATTTGTACAGATTAACTCTTCCTGTCGATCGCCTGTCAGAAACCATTGACAAAATATATATTAATGTGAGCGAAGCCGTGTGTAAATGGTAGTTTATTCATACGTTGTCGAGAGCTTGGGTAGTGTTGAGACATTGTCTTATTTATTTACTTTACTATTATAGGTTTAATGTAATTTGCATTTATTAATAAAAAAGAAAGAAGTTATCCTTTTGACCTATGTGTATGGTATGTTTGTTCGCGTTTATCCCTCGATTGGCTGAACCGATTTTGGTGTAGTTTTCAGAAAAGTATTTGCTACGTTTCGGAGTAGGTTTTAGAATACAATTGTTTTGTATTGCTAGCCGATTAAAAAAAACAAGGAGGTTAAAGTCAGATTGATTAAACGTAGTTTAAAGAAAATTGTTAAATAGTTATTGATGAGTTTTGGGTATTTAGATTGGATATTTTCAATATCATGATATGAATCCAAACTCTGTAGAGTGCAAATATTTTTAAGATTTACTATAAACATTGTCTTTTCCAATTGTTTCAGCAAAAAAGGTATAGGTATTTATATGTGATTATAATAAAAACTAAGAATGTCTAATTGTGAAGAGACGTTTAAATTTAAGATGTTAGTTACCAAGAACCACATCAATGAATGTTAATTTAGTTTTTTTTTTAAAGTTAAGACAAGACTTGTTTGCTGTATAATTTTTTTTTGAAATGAAGTTAAAAGAACTAATTAAATTATGAAGAAGTTTGTCATGAAATGTAAGGCACTTAAGTAATTTGATGCAGTCAATAGTAACCTTCAACTCTATTAAAATTAAAATGTACAATTTTTTTACGAAAACATTAAGTACGAGTATCTATGTTATAGCATACTTTACGTGAACGTTAAAATGTACAAATTCAAGTTAATTAAAGTATTTGTGTAATTAAATAAAATTATCTAACTGTCGATACAGCCTCCGTCTGTGTAATCGTATACTAAAGGTCACGGATTTCATATAAAGTTCACGAGACTAAATACACAACGTTCAGACAAAGCTTTACATTATTACCTATGAACATAAACGAAACATCCATAAAAATAAAATTAAAAAAAAAACTTACCAAAAAAAAATCGACGAAAAGTTTTCAGCTACTCATGTAGTTCAGTAGATTGTAAAAACTCAAAATAAAAACAGTTTATAATGAATATACTTACGATATTAAATTAATAAAAAAATAGTTTAGATTGTGAGTTCACTATTTCACTTCACTCGTAAGTCTCGAGTCGTATCCCGCGCTATTATGACGCGAGGTCGCGACGTAGCGTCCGTTCAGCTGGGCGGCCCAGCATCCACTGACACACGAATGGACCGACCATTCAGTCTGCAACACTGGCCGGAAACTATCTCATACCTACTTACTATAATGTACTACAATATATTACTCATTTTGTTTTTTTTTTTTCAATGGACATGTAGCCGCCATTTTTAATGTGTCTATGAATTTTGTTATTTTTAGTTTTGCGAAAAATTATAATATGAACTCATCTTTTTGCCTGAATGGTGGTAAGCCTGACTGCCGAGCAAATGCTGTAGGATTAAATTCCTAGGTTCTGCGAACTATGATTTCGGGTTTCCAAAAATTGAGCTTAAAAAAATGTGCGCCGTTTTTAGACAAACATGGTCTGAAATAAACAGGTTTTTTAGCTAGATTTATGTATTTTTGCTGTTTACAAAAAAAGAGGTTCTCACATTGACATGTTAGTATGTATGTATGTTTGTGCACGATTATCTCTTGATTGGCTAAATCGATTGTGATGCAGGTTTCTGAAAAGTGTTTGATACACTTATGAGAAGGCTTTAATATATTAAAAGAGAGGGTTAAAGTAATTATTATACTATTAAGAATTCGAGTAAATTAGGGGTAAAGTAAAAAACAACAAGCATAATGTTTTCGTCTGTCGGACTTTTCGGTTGGAGCGGTGGCCACGCAACGTGTTCGAGTTCGATTCCCGCACGGAACAACTCTTTGTGTGATCTACAGATTGTTATTTTGGGTGTGATGTGTATGTGAACTTGTATGTTTGTAAACGCTCTCACGACACAGGAGAAAAATCCTACCATGTGGGGCATTTTACCCGAGCGTACGTAGCGTCGCGTTCCGCGCGCGCCTCAAAGAGCCATCAGACCACCACAGACGGGGCTCAATACGGCCGATGCCGATTCGGAGTCGCGGAGAACCTAACGGGTAACCGGGGCTCCGGCTTGTCGTGCAGGAGAAGGAACGGGGTGGTTTTTAGTCAGTAAGAGCCTGACACTCCCTCCCGCCTCACCCAGACGGGAGCAGACATTCGATGATTTTCCCCCTTAAAAAAAAGTGTGGGGCATTTTAAAAACAAAAACATGTTTGTGCTATTGATAATATAAGTATGTACTTAATATCTAGTAATAGAACATTGAACACTAACAGTACAATATTGTTAGAACAAATTATCACATCACCTTAGAACAACTGACGGGAAGTGATTGTATTGATTTACAGTAGCCAGCAAGTTAACCTATCTTATTCTCACAAATTTCTCTATCATCAACTTTATTGTATTGAGATAAAGTCGAAAATTCAATTAATAAATTTGACAAATTGGAGTAGATTGATCTGCTGGCGACTGTACCTTGATGTTAAATAGTTACAAGTATGTTCACACACTCGTAATATGTAATGTCGGTGGTATATTATTCTATAACAAGCGTTCGAGTAGACATACATACATCGCCTGTCTCCCATGGGGGTAGGCAGAGACTATGGAACGCCAATTTATCATCCTCATCAACCACGACATCAATTGCCATTCCATCATTCCAGTAGACTGGAGATTACTAAATGTTTAAAACATATTTTATAACTAGCTTCTTCTAGCAGCTTCGCCCGCTTTCCTGTGGTATAAAACATAGCCTGTGTTATTCCAGACCATATTCTACCTCAGTTCAAATTGCATCTCGACCCTTTCAGCCGTTTCGACGTGATTGAGTAACAAACAGACACACGCACTCAAAATTTTTAGCATTTATAATATTAGTAAGATATATTCAAGTGTGGGAGAGCCATGCTTCGGCACGAATGGGCCGACTCGACCGGAGTGACACCACGGCCTTACAGGAAACCGACGTGAAGCAACGCTGTGAGTGAGGTTCCCTTCCCTTCCCCAATCTCCCTAATCCCTGAATCCCCAACGATCCTCCAACTCCTAATCCCCAAAATGCCGGTAACGCACTTGATACCGATTGCTTACCATCAGGTGGTCCGTTTGCTCGTTTACCGGTTTATGCCATAAAAATAATATTCAAGTTCTCTATCACTTATTGCGTAAGAACAGTGACAGAAAATAACAAAGGTGTATTGTATTCTTATAGGAAGAAGAAAACAACAGTTATTTTTATTCAGTGATTTATTAACATTTTTGCTATAAGACATTTGAAGCCACGACGTATTGTAGCACAGCTGGTCGTCCAGCCACTGCACCACCGTGCCGTGCACATTCGCGTAGTCGCCTGCACCTACCTGCAATATAAACTTTACTTACAACGTAATGTAAGTTAAATTAAAAAAATAAAAAATCGTAATTATATTCATAGAAAAACTGGCTATACCGCACGGTTTTACCCGTTTTGCTTCGCTCTTACTCATTGTAGCGTGATGGTTTGTAGCCTATAGCCTTTTTCGATAAATTGACTATCCAACACAAAAGTTATTTCGGAGATAAGTGCATCCAGACAAACGGACAAAGAAACTCTTCAGCGTTACATAGTAAGTAATAATATAGATTATTATTAGTATAAAACTATTTTGTGTTATCGTGACGATGAAGGAGACTATTGTCCATGACGAGTGAGTCAGCTCCTGCAGTTCCTGGGTACCTAGTACTTCCAATACAACAAACGATGACTTAGTGCTCAAACTCAGAGTTATTTTGGTAACCATTAAATTTTAACTGTCTGCACTGTTTTAGTTTAGTCTTGTAGGAAAACAAAAACAACGTAATATTACATGTTTAGTTCATTTATTAGTGTTCTTTCCTTTGTCGTGCGGGCGTTTACAAACATAATTTTGCGTATATAGTATACTAGCACCCGCCCCGGCTTCGCACGGGTACAATATGCATGTATTATACATTTAACTTTCCTTAAGAATTACTCTATCTATTGCAAAAACCGCATTAAAATCCGTTGCGTAGTTTTAAAGATCTAAGCATACATAGGGACTTTGTTTTATACTATGTGGTGATGACACCCAGACCCGAAACAATAGTATGTGGACTATAAAAAGTGTTGATCCATGCAATATTGGAACCGCTATACGTTGCGCGGCAGTCGAATGCCCAGTCACCGTGTCTACCATCACAGTGGTCATAGTATTACATTATACTTTGTTAACCGACCTGGGAATCTAACAAGTATAAGTAAATACACCAGCTTGATAAACGATCCAGTATGTTGTATTAACTCCTCTATATAAATAAGAACTAAACTCAATGTTTCTATTAAGTTCATTCATTTATTTATTCCACGATGCTCCCCTCATACAACCTACATTCCTAATCTACATAATATAATAGTATATACGAATATGTACGTATAGAATCTCCGCGGTGTGCGGTCCTAGCTTGTGTGACTTTTTGCTTCGTTAGCGCTCGTCTGCAGTGCTATTCTGAAGATGGCAAATGTATCTAGAAAGGTATCTCTTTGTAAAAAGCTGGTCACATACTTGTGTCTGGTGTTGTGAGGGTTCATAGGCGGCGTAAATCGCTGACAATTTGGTAATTAGGTGATACGTCAGCTCGTATGCTGTCCAATAGCAGGAGAAGGAACGGGGTGGTTTTTAGTCAGTAAGAGTCTGACACTCCCTCCCGCCTCACCCAGGCGGGAGCAGTCATTCGATGATTTTCCCCCCTTAAAAAAAAAAAATGCTGTCCAATAAAATCTCAAATCGCCCTGCAAGTCACACTAAAACTCATTAAATTACAAAATGCCGAAGCCTAAAATATCAAAATATTCACCTGGTGTAATTCTACCGACTTCAGTCATCCTGGTGGTTTCTAGTATCGAACTCACTAATATTCAGCATACAAAACTTTAATTCCACATTCAGAGGGCCTATTGCGAGCTGTTTTTGTACACACGTTAACGTGGTGGAAATGTCACCACGTTTAGCACTCTGATTGGTTAGCTAACTTGTAGCAGGCCAATCAGAATCCCGAACGTCATAAACGTGTCAATCTCGGTAACATGACACAAACTTACATTAGGCCCTCCGGAGCTGCAGATAGAGGGTTGCCGGGGCTCCGGTTCAAAGCTGGAATAGAAACTTTAGTCAGTCAGAGTCTGACACTCTCTCGCCTCATCTAAGTCAGGAAGGAATTATCGGATGATTTGATTATAAAAAACGGCCCTTAGAAGTGACATTGCAAACCGAATTTCCAGAATAGTGCCGCTGGTCTAGCCAGACGACTGCCAGGCATTCCTCGAGTTCTAACGACATAGCTCTGGCAAAGAATTTGTAGCTCCCAGAGTTCCAGCGACTATCGACATTTTTCTAATCTAATTAATTATAAAATTTGTAGCTGTATATAAATTGTCTAGCGCTGCTAGTGACGTGGGTGGTATCTACTATTGTGTTATTATGTTACTAAATGCATTACGAAAATATCTATCTATTTACATCCGAGTACTGAAAAGTTACTCATTTTTAAGTCGTACTTAACTATCGTGCCATCTCTGTCATTTTACTACATAACATCACGCCTTTTTATCCCCGAAGGGGTAGGCAGAGGTGCAAATTACGGCACTTAATGCCACTGTACAATGTACCACCCACTTTTCACTATTAATGTTACGAGTCCCATGTAATAGGGGGTGAGCCTATTGCCATATACCAGGCAAATTTGCGGACTCCGTGCTACTACTGAGATTTTTAAAAGCCCAGCAGTCGCTATTGCGTCTTTTAATTTTTGAATTTGAAAGTAAATGAAGTAATTTTAGAATTTGACAACAGTTAAAACTCGTTTTCGACGTAGTGATTAGGTGTAACTTGATGGGCAGCTATAGTACACTAAATGGAAGCTCATAAAATCGTGTTAGATAAAATAACTATTAAATTACCGTCACGGTTTACTTACCAATCATGTCAATTATTTTGTGCTACTTAACTTCATTTTAAACAAAGTATTGTTAACAACAATGTGTGCTTCGTTGATTATTGAAAGTAATTGCCAATTGGAAAAAAATATTTAGTTTGTCGATTTTTAGGAAACAACGTTTAGAAATCAAGTTTTGATGACAAAAT